CGAGGGACGAGTTGGGGCGAGGGGCGGGTGGGAGGTCGGCGGAGGGGGCTGCGGGGAGGCGGAGAGGGGCCGTGGGAGGAAGGGGCCGGGCACCGGCCGGGCCGACTTGGAAGGACTGATGGGGAGGGAGAAGAACTGGCCGGTGTGAGGGCTGGGACAGACTGGAGGGGCACCCTCCAGAGGGGTGACCTGGACGGTGGACAGCAGACAAAGGCATGGAGTGAAGACTACAGGATCTGGGAGGGCTGGGACAGAGGGGAGGGGAGACAGGAGAGGAAGGGGTGCAAGGACAGGGCGAACCAGGACAGGGCCAGGCAGAAGGAGGGGCCTGGGGAAGACGGTGATGGGGGGGGGTACTTAGAGGACAGTGAGTGAAACAGGGACCCGGAGAGGCTGGAAGGGGCTCTGGGCGGTTCAGAGGCGACGTGAACAGATGGACTGAGGTATTGACAGAACACAGGAGGAGGGTGGCAGGAGCTGTTCCATCAGGAAGCAGCTGCCTGCTTGGGGACAGGGAGACGGGGCCATCCAACTAGTGCTCAGCTCAGTCCCTCCTCCGGAGCAGGAATCCGCGCTGAAGGCCCTGGGGACAGAAGGCCTTTTTCTCTTTTCCTCCTTGGACACTGACGGGGACATGTACATCAGCCCCGAGGAGTTCAGACCCATTGCTGAGAAGCTGACAGGTACCAAGAGAGGCTGGCAGCTGGGGAGGAGGGGGCCTTGGCTGGGGTCTGCAGGGAGCAGGAGCAGCAGCCTGGAATCAAGGGAAGGCCATGGGGCTCTACAGCCCTGGGCTCCTCCCTGGTTCTGCAACTTTCTAGCTGGAGGCTTGGGTGAGTGGCTCCAGCACCCCAAGCCTGTTTTTCCTCACGCTGCAGATGATGATACTAGTGAACATTGCTTGGCCTCTTCGGTGCCGGACATCACTTTAAGCATCTCATGTGGGATCTCTCTTTAAAGCTCACAATAGGCCAGGCGCAGTGGCTCAAGCCTGTAATCCCAGCATTTTGGGAGGCCGAGGCAAGATTGCCTGAGGTTGGGAGTTTGAGACCAGCCTGGGCAACTTGGTGAGACGTTGTCTCTACAATATATCAAAAAATTAGTCAGTCGTGGTAGCATGCATGTATGTATCCTTGAAAGGCTGAGGCAGAAGGATCACCTGAGCCCAGCAGGTTGAGGCTGCGGTGGCCATGAGCATGCCACTGCATTCCAGCCTGGGCAACAGAGTGAGACTCTGACTCAAAAACAAAAAACAAAAAAACTCACAATAGCCCTGGGAGATGGACACCACCATGATCTCCATGCTGACAGTTTGGGAGACTAAGTCACAGGCAGGTTCACCAACTTGCCCAAGCTAGCCAGGTGGGGTGCCATCTGGCTCCAGGGTCCTATACTAGCTCACAGGCTTGCAGATTAGAGAAAATATCTGCAAGGTGACTAATATGCAGTATTCAGCAGACAGGAGCTATAACTGTTATTACTAAATTTGAAATTCTACTCAGGTGCTGTCAGGTTCCTGTCCCATTTGTGCTGTTCATTTTTGTCTAGTAATCAATGATTGTTTTTGTAAAGATAAGAGACTGAAACATTCTCATGAATTATGAGAATGTTCTCTTTCACCGTCCCCTCACCCAACCTCTGCATCCATTTCCCTCCACCTTCCTGTCACAGTGCTTGAACTTATGACCTTGGGCACCTGCTTGCTACCCAGCTCGCCTGGTGTTCGTCAGTGGGTGGAAAGGCAAAGAAGCAATGTCAGGCGGTTCGGGTGCTGACAGGGGCCTTCTGTGTTCCAGGGATGGGTTGGGTAGGATGGCCACTTGCTGGCCCAGTGACCCATGGTCGTTGCTGGAGGAAGAAGGTCAGGTGGCAAATGCTAATGTGCTGCAGCGGATGTGTATCAATGTCTCCAGGCGCAGGCAGTTCTGTCACAAAAGCAGATGGGCAGATGGGCAGCTAAGCAGGCCGTCCCCTCGTGGCTTCGCTGTTACTTTGGATTTTGCATACACTTCTCTGCTCTGTTTATGGCCAGAGAGTGAGCATTTCTCTCAATATGACATGTCCGTGAATCTTGCTGGGCTCAGGGGCACTTTTTATTTTTTTTCACATAAATCTTTTTCTCCATCAGAGGAAAAGAGTCCCTTCATTACTTCTAGGCTCAGAGTGCAAAAATGGTCCAAGTTTTGAGAAATCTAAGGGGCAAAAAGAATCACATCCAAGCAGGGAATAAAGGCAAACAGTTCTCTCTATTGGGCAGAGTTATGAGTGCGTTTTGTTTTCTGCTTTATACCTTCAAATTTTTACAAATTGCCTATAACAAGCAAATGTTATTTATAAGCTAGGAAATATATTTTTTTTTGAGTTGGAGTTTCACTCCGTTGCTCACAACCACCCCAGTGTCCACCTGCTGGGCTCTGGCGATCATTCCACCTCAGCCTTCAACTAGCCAGAACAACAGGTACGTGCTGCCATGCCTGGCTTATTTTTTGATTTATTGTAGAGATGAGGTCTTACTGTGTTGCCCAGGCTGGTCTTGAGCCCGCGGGCTCAGGCAATCCTCTCGCCTCGGCCTCCCTAAGTGCTAGGATTACAAGGAAATAAAGCATTTTATTAAAAAGCCAAAAAGCAGCCGGGCTCGATGGCTCAGCCCGTAATCCCGCACCTTTGGGAGGCTGAGGTGAGTGGATTGCCTGAGCCC